TTTGAAGATATTAATGATGTAGCATGAGATCATTTATTAGTACTAATTACTTCTGACTGATACTAGCATTGCGATTGATGATACTATGAGATCACTTACCAGTATTATCACTTCTACTATCAATGTGTTATCGAGTGTGTCTTCAGCGAGCGATGTATGAATATTCTCATCGGATACGATCATTGTTCAGTTTATATAATAGTTGCGATTGGATCTGTTTTGAGTTTGCCTGTAAAACCTGAATAGTGCTGTATAGATATTGTAAGTGATTAGCGTTGTGGTTGTTGAATGGAACTGAAATGTCAGAATATCATTTACACTTCAATTGAAACCATTTATTTTGTGGATTTTTTGTTTTGCAATGGGAAATTTCCACTTCTCTTACATTACAAGTCAATCAATCAATCTCAGTGAAATTCTATCTTCTACACATCTTTCTATCTTTTCATCTCTTCGTTTCCTATGAATTTTTCGTTTCTTCGTTGCCTTCTCGTGTGTGATGCTTCATACTCCTCTTAAGTACGAATTCTTTTCATTCGCGAATATTCTTTGTCACCCGAATATCTTCGTTATGTTCAGCCGACAGCCATCGTGCAATATTCTTTCTGGTTTGTGCATCTGACCATCAACTCTGTCTTCGAGAGTCGAATATTTTTGCGCATTTTATTTCGTAATTTGCTGTCGAATTACTGTTTTACAAAATTTTCATACTTTGTGCTAAACAAAACTTTTCGATAAATCATATTTGTAATAATTATTGCGGTATATTAGTGTGCATTTAGTTGTGCAATAGCTGAGTTATGTGCTTCGCGTTCAGTGGTTATGACTATTATCAGTTGAGATTTTGACATATGACTTCAACGATTCACCTGCATCGAACACAATCGATATTGGTCATTGTTGTGTGCGTTAAACGCATTGCACATTTCATAGAAAATGACATACCTCACGAATGTGTCATCAAATTTTGAGTGATTTTCGCTGAATCGAGTCTTTCGCAATCTTTTATTGAGTTTATTTAATTTCGTTCAATTATTAACATTTAAGAAGAAATTAACGACGAAATGATTCAATAACGTGCTGTGAATTGCGCTTTCGATTCAGTCAGATTCATTGTGAATATTCAAAATGGAATGGTTTATAAATGATTGATAAATTAATGGTTAAGGTGAATTAAATTGATTTAATTGAATGCTTCAATGAGTTTCTATCTCACATTTGACAAAAAAGGATATATGTAGTGAATAGGGAGAAATAAGTGCTTAATAAAATACTTTTAATATCGAGTTTATATGACACCAAACGATGATGAGGGATTAATGAAAACAGAGGAGTGAATAATCAGAGAGGATTTGATAATGGAAAATCGAGTTTATATTTGATGTAAATGAAGTGTTTCGATTCGTCGGTTTAGGAATGAAGCAAGGTGCAATCATGTGAATTCATTGATCGACCGTTAGCTGAATTTATTGATGGTGTATGCATGAATGCATGTGGATGGATGGATGAAACAGCAGCTGCTTTCGAGATGAGAACATGAGCATGAAGATAGCGTGATGTTGTAGATCGATAGATGTGTGCACAGATAGCTTTTAGATGTGCTCATGCATTGCAGCGTTGTTTCATGCACTACTCCAATGACGATGACACATACATCCTTTCGAGAGCTTTTGAAACGGAACGGGAATGAATGAATACATTTGCATTGTTCACTCTTCGCTGTCAGCATTACTCCCGTATCTTAAGCAAATGTCATTCTAGTTAATTGATAATTGCTGTATTGTTTGTTCTTTTATAAAGCAAACAATTTCGGTATTGGTACAGTAACACTTGAGCGTGTACTGAATAATGAAGTGAGTTGATCGTTTGATTAGTGGTAATCATATCATCGTCGATATGTTTACTTTCATGCATAGAACGGGTGTTATGTGCTGGCAGGATAGAATACTGATTAATTCATGGATAATGTGTGTGTGTGTGTGTGCGATTGATTGTTCTTATGACGGAAAAGGGACATCTGACCATCTGTTCGGTCATCATTTATTGCATTTTATGTTGAGATGAACGTTGTTCGTTAGATTCACTCGCGTATTGATGTTATTTCTCGATTATTTACAGTGGTGATTCATTCTGATGTTTGTGCGCATTTTTTGCTTCCATTTTTACATATCCGCTCACAATTTACTGTTATTTTGATTACGGTCGTTGGTTGAGTTCGATGGAAACGTGAAGTTGTTTTTCTGATTGAAGTGAATGTTTACCGCAGACAAATTTTGTTACATCAATTGTTAGACAGTGCTGGGACACTTTCAGAGATTATGCGCTCTGTGCAGTTGGTTTTCGTTAGAAGAGAATTAGGCTTAGGCCCAGGATTGGGTACATAGAAAGTAGCCGAAAAACGCATTGTCTTTGGAATTTTCTCTGGAATCTTTCAAGATACATTTCGGTTTTGAGCACAACCACATGATTTCGAAATCTATAATTTTCGTTAGATTTCAGTTAATTTCTCGTCTGCAACGTAATATTTCATCGAAAAGAACGTGATGAATTATCGTCGATGAGAATTGACAATGGGCAGTGAATAACATTGGAGTGCACTAGGAAGAATGTTTAGTTGATATTATCCACATTTGGATTATTTTTAATCGCGAGATTTGTGAAATTTCGATTCGAAACGGATGCCGAGTGCAGTGCATTTGAACGTGACTGAGGAGGATGTGGTGAAGACCATACTGGAATTCCTTGATTCAAGAGGATTACATATTGCACAGGTTCTTATTGCCTATTTCAGTAGTTATCCTTTTATTTTCGATCAGTGTTGCGATTGTTTCGTTGATTCTTATGATAACTCTAATGGTAACAGTGATAAACCTGGATTACCTGGATCGGCCAGGCCTTCAAACGTTTGTAACGTTGCTGGCCACAATGCTTGCGTTTCCGTGCACATTATTTTAGCCTCAATTTACGCCACCCCGCTGGCCAGGCGAGCAGGCCAACCGAACACAACCGTGTAATTAATTAGTTGCCGTGAATACTCTGCATAATCAATCGTAGCCAAATATCAATCCAATGAATAATATATCACAGCTCTAATAAAACAAACATTCCGCCGATCGCTCATTGCGATTGACAAAACAACAAGTAACAGTGATAAAAGTAATGAATAATTGAATTTGACTTTCAGTTATCACTTGAACGGGAGACGGGTATAATAAACGGTGATTTTTCGGAGGATTTATTATTTTTGAGGCAGTTGGTATTGGATGGCTTATGGGATAGTGCGTTGGATTTTATAGAGCCTTTGAAAGATGTGAATGAGTTTGATATACGGGCGTTTCGATACAACATCACGAAGTACAAGTATTTCGAGTTGTTATGCATCAAGCAAGAGCCTGGACCCTTACATGACAACGACTTCACTGTCGAGGTGTGTCTTCTGGTGCTGCTGTTGTTGTTGTTGTTGTTTGCATGCAAGTATTATAGCAGTGTGCTTACAGGAGCTTGTGGAATGCTTGAAAGATCTCGAACACATCTGTCCAACACCCGAAGACTTCAGAGCTTTGTGTGCTTTATTGACCCTACCTAAGCTGTCCGATCATGTCGACTTCAAAAACTGGAATCCAAGCAGTGCTCGTGTGGAATGCTTCAAAAAGGTTTGTTCGTTCAATTGCTATTCTGGACGAAACCGTGACGCTTTACGGAAACAAAGTCCCTGGATCTCCGGTCCGGCTGAACCGATTCCAGGGAGTCCATTCCTTAACTAGAAAAGAGAACTCTAGCTCA